TTATATACATATTACATTTCAGTATTACATAATATATAATATGTCATATATTATAATATATATGTAATTATGTACATATAACTTTTTCATCAAGATATAGAACACATACTGTAAAATGCACAAAGTGCAATTTTTCCATATGTATATATCTGAGTAACCTCCACCCACATCAAGATATAGGACAGTTCCAGCTCCTGCCCGCAAAGCCTCCCTCATAGCCTGTCATAGGCACTTTCCCACCTGGGTGTAGCCATTACTTTGGCTTCTATGATAGGTCAATGTTGCCTATTTTTGAACTCCACATAAATAGAGTCCTACAGCATGTCCTCCTGTGTACATGCTTTACATTTTTAGAAAATCCCTGTAATGAGAATGGAAGCCGAGACCTGTGAGGTGGCTACTGCACTAGTCCAGGCGTGTGATAATGGGGTGGCCACAGAGGTAGTGGGAGGGGCTGGAAAGGAAATGGGATGGATTCTGTTGGCTGAGCTGACAGGACTTGTTGATACATTGCTTGAGGGGTGTGAGGGGGAAGAAAAGACAAGACCTGAAGAATGGGGTCAATGGCAGTGCTGTTTACCAGAGAGGAATAGATGGAAAGGAGTGAGAATCGACAGTGGGGTGCTGGACACATTGAGTTTGATGCCATTTAAAGACTGGTTTGCACAGGTCCTCATCAGGACATAGGACATATGGGGATACCCGGGCATATCTCCCCCAACAGAAACGAGTTTATATGTTTCCACCAAAAGACACATCTTAGAATGTTCCTAGCAGGACAGTCTGTAATAGCCGTAAGCTGGAAGCAACCCAAATACCCACCAAAGGTAGGACGGATAAATTAATGGCGGCCTGCTCACATGGTGGGGTACTGTACAAGCAACAAGAACGAACCATCTGCAGCTACATGCAGAAGCACGGATGAATCTCACAAGCATCACGTTGAGCAAAAGGATTAAAGGTGCACAAGAGACCATTCTGTACAATTCCACTTATACAAAGTCCAAAAGTAAGCAAAACTCAGGTTTGCAATCGGAATTCAAGGTGGTGGCTGTCCTTGGGGTTAATGGCCAGAAGAGAAGACAGGGGATCCTAGGGGACTGATCCTGTGTTTCTTGATCTGAGAATTCATTGAGCTGTTTGCTTGTGATTTGTGTTCTTCCTATAGGTACATCATTTTCAATAAAAGGTTTAAATTTTTTTTAAGTTTCTTTGTGCATAAATGGCATATGGGGGAGGGGAAGAGAAAGACAAAACCTACCCCTTTCTTAAGATTATCTATTTGCTTAAAACTAATGAGTAGAAGGGTAGAGTTTGGTTAACCTTCTTAACACACGAACCCACGCAATGCCAGGCAATGTGTTAAATGAAAAAGATTGACTGAATAAATAGATCTAAAATCGTGATCTGTATTCTGTTGGTTGGTTATGCGTTACCCAAATGATGGTTAATATTTTTATTATCTGTGGTCTGACGGAATGGACTTAAATTTTCATGTCATTCATTTTGCCTATCCATTCACATACCTCTTTGTAATCTTGAGCTGTGGTTTTCTCTTTGGATATTTAGCCATTTTTTTACTACTCATTCGACAACTAATTATTGCTGTTTCCTAATTGCAGTGCATAAAAACAATATCTAGTTTTGTTGGGAGGGGAAAGGCAGTGGAGAAGTGTTGATGAAATTTTGATTTACAAACATCAGGAATACCACCACCACCGATCCTTATATAAAATAATAAAGGGAAAGAAGAGCCAAGAGTAAAAGAAATGAGCAGATTTCCTACTTCCTTCCTTTTTACCTTTCCATTAAAGATAAGGAGGAAGAAGGAAGTGGGGAGGAAGGAAGTAGAAAGGAGCAAAGGAAACAATCAAAGAAGAAACTATTCATCTCTACCACAATTCGCGTTTCTGTAATTGATCACGAGGCCATAGTTGATATGTTTAATTTCCTTCCTCCATTTTATCCCACGTTTCCTTTGCCCTCAGCTGGCTGGTGTTCTGTATCTGGTGAGGTGACCCAAACTCTCCTTCCTGAAAGGTCTAAATCACGAGTGGACCTGCCATTTTGTTGTTGTTGCTGCTGCTTTTACTATTGGACATGGAAGCTCCAAGAAGTGCTCCAAAGAAGGCCTTGTGTTCTAGACATGGACTTCCTGCCCCGTCGTGTGGCAGTGACCCAATTTCCCTTTAGCAATAGTGATCGATCGCCCCAGCAGACAGAATAATCCCCTTTTTTGCCTGTTGGTTCAGTAGCATGAGACACCCAAAATGGCCAAATGACAGTCTCACCTTCCAATTTACTGGCACCACTGCTGTGTCCTCTAGTGCAGGGGTCCCCAACCTTTGTTGCACCGGTGCTCCTATGGGAATCTAATGCTTGATGGTCTGAGGTGGAGCTGAGGCGGTGATGCTGGCGCTGGGGAGCGGCTGCAAACACAGATGAAGCTTCGCTCGCCTCCTGCTGTGCGGCCCGCTTCCTAGCAGGCCACGGACCAATACCTGTCCACAGCCCTGGGTTTGGGGGCCCCTGTTCTGAGAGACTCATTCCTATCAGAAGTGTTCCCTACTCTTCCTCTTTGGAGCTCCCCTAGACCCTCATACTTCACGCTTTACCAGCCAGAAGCCTCTAGGTTGTGACTGTCTCTTTCCAGACCAGGGGGCAGTGTTGGGTCTGACTCATCTCTGGGTCCCTGGCATCACTCAGCTCAGAAGAATAGGTTACGAATGTTTGCCAGATGTCCTTCCTTGAAGCTCTCTGTCTCTTACTTGTTCCTGCCTCTGTCCCAGTGCAGGGCCGGAAACCCAGGAGGACCTCTCTGAACAACGGATACCGCTGCGTGTGAACCCACGTTCGGTAGTGCTGCTTCCCTACCCCCTGTCCGTTGCATTTCTGAGATCCGTGTCTGAGGCGGTTCTCTGCGTGCAGCGGGAGCTTGGAGGGTTAAGGGCTCTCCTCACTCCTCCTGCCACACATAAAGTCCCTCCCCCGGACTGGAGGATGTCTGCTCCCCCATCGTGTCTTCCACACAGCGCTACTTTTGACCAGGGAACTCATTACACAGTGAATGAAGTGTGGCAACGGGCTCATGCCTGTGGATTTCACTGGTCTTACCTCGTACCCCATCACCTAGAAGAAGCTCGCCTGACAAACTAACGGAATGACTCAGTCATCATTGCCACCTTGGAGTCAGTACCTCAAAGGATGGGGTTCTGCCTTACAGCGGGCAGCAGAGGCTTTGAGTACTGTCCCCCATGGTGTGAATATGCGGGCCTGATGGTCAAGGGGTGGCAGGGGCTCCTCTCACAGCTATACTTAAGCCCACATGCAGAATTTTCATTCCCACCCCTACAACTTCGAGCTCTGATGGTTTAGTGGTCTTGGTTCCCATGGAAACAAAGCTGCCACTAGAGCAGGGGTCCCCACCCCCCAGGCTGCAGCCTGGTACTGGTCCGTGGCCTGTTAGGAACCGGGCCCCACATCAGGAGGCAAGTGACAGGCAAGCGAAGCCTCATCTGCATTCGCAGCCGCTCCCTGGTGCCAGCATCACCGCCTCAGCTCCGCCTCGGATCCTCAGGCATTAGATTCTCATAGGAGCGCCGGTCCCTGGTGCCACAAAGGTTGGGAACCGCTGTCTCAGAAGACACCTAAAGGACACGTAGGAATTGGCAAAGGCACAGGAGAAAGGTATTAAGGACAGTGTGCACGAAGACTGTGTCTGTGTATAAAGTGTGAGAAAGGAAGATGAGGGCGAAGAGGGTGGCAGGGCCCGGCGGGTGAGGATAAAGATTCCTCAACTCTCCCCTGCAGCCAGTGGGGATCTACGGGAGGGCTGAGCACACAGGCGAGGCATGGTGGAAGCCAGGTGGCAGGAAGCTCTCCCCCGTGACCGTGACCGTGACTGTGACCGTGCAGGAGACAAAGCAGGGGGAGTGAGACCGGAGGCCAGGCAGCAGGGAGAGTTCGGTGATGGGGTCTCTCATTCATGGTCTCCAAGGTCAGGGGCCACTTAGTGTTGAAGGGCTTGGAGGGACGGGGGTGCTG